AGCATACTCCAAGAACTGGAATAGAAGCAGTATATCCGCTTACAGAGTGATAATAATGGGACGTAATTGATGATAGCTAAAAGGTGGTCATTCCCAGAAGATAACGAGGTTCAGCCCAGGAAGCACGGAAGCACCTTTCTCGACCGACCATAATGGGACCGACATGCTTGCGTCGATGTCTACGACTGCTGCAAAATAGAAATGGTCATTCTTTAATTCATTAGACTTCAAACCTGCCACAACAGGACGTTATTTGTGCCCTCAAGATATTATTACGCAGTTACTTTATTGCATTCAATTAATCTCCTTACATAGTCGTAATGAGACCCGTGAAGATCCGGGGTAGAATAGGTCTTCAGCAACCTATGCATGCCGTAAAAGGCGACTATGCTTGTCGTAAGAGGTGACTAACGGGATCAGGTGGTCAGGCTCGCTGACTTGGTTGATCCATGTCATCGTATCCCAATTGCATAGATCGATGCCCGTGATGTCAATCACTGGATTTTCTGGTCCAGACTCGATTATTTAGAGACCGCCGTAATATAGCTGGAAAATTGCTGACTGCGGCGTTAAACAACAAACAAACATAGTCGTAATATCATTTAATGTTCGCAAACGAATGAAACGAGAAAGTACATTAAAAAGATTCTTGACTATGTAACTGATAGAGTTGTAAGTCCCACCACTTTTGTAATTAATTTTTTCTTCAGACTTCAGATCGAACATGTTGTGAACATTTTTCAACTTGCATCAATGATTTAGCGGGTCAGACAAAAGTTTGATGATCTTAATCTTGCACAGTTAAAGAATGCACATTGCAAGGTTATGACATTATTTCAAGTTCAAGTTCAAGTTCGTGACAACAAATTCCAATAAATACCTCACCAATGAATAGCAGAATATGTTCACTATGATCTTCTGAAGCTGAACAGTCAGTCGTGGTGAAACAAATTGAAATCATCCTTTAAGTAAGGCTGTCAGAAGAAAGTTAATCATTTGTGTGCTGGTTCATGACTGGCACTCAGTTGTCATCACATTCTAACAGGACGTGCCTCTTCCAGAAGACGTCGTCGTGAGATTCAATTAACACCTTAAACTTGGCTTTTAAATTGGACTTCATTTTCACACGGATGCCACACATTCATTTAACTGACACCAAATGGCATCCGTGGTCTTTCAGCGGTTTCCTTAATAATGGCATTTATTTCATGTTCACATTTCGAGTTTTTTTCGAGTCTTATGTGAGATTAGGGCTCTCTCATTACACTAACGCAAACAGTATCAGAGTTTAATATATTCGTCTGCCGACCACTGATAGTTTGCTTTTCTAAATGCCATTCATCATTAATGAAAAATGCCACATTCAATGCTTTTTTAGAGAAGATGTCAAATTCTGCATTACAATATTCACTGACATTGCGAAAAACATGACCTGAAAAATATTTAACAGTGATGGGCGATCAGACGCAATTCGCACGAGAATGCATTTCTATGGGCCCCGAATTGTTTCGTGAGTGAGTGAGTATGGTGTTACGCCGTTTTTCGCTATCGCCTGTGAAACCACGAAGGGGGTCACTGGAAACAGGCGTCATACACTGTACCCATTTCGGGAAGAAACCCGGACCTTCTGCGTGACTAGCGAACACTTTAACCACAAAGCTAACTCATCGCCCTAAATCGTCATGTACACTTTTGCATACTTATTATTAGACGACGGCCTGTAAATATTACGAGTCTGAACAAAACCAGCAAGTGATTGTGATCATCGATCCATGCCATCAGGATGTGATGACAGGCAGTGACACAAGTCTTCATCTTCATCTTCACTTTATTCTCCAGAGAACCACACATGGTGGTATAAGAGTACATTTTACATGTCAATCATATATACAAGCAGTCAAAATGGCGGCGGACTAAAACAAAATATTGTAGGTAAACAGTGGTAGATATAATAAGCATGTCTATTATCTAAGTTTTGATATTACAGAGAAGATAACATTTATAAACTTTGCTAAGTTTCTTAAAACAGTGAAATCTGATGATGTTATCAACCGTCTATAAGATACCATATTTGAAAATTTTGTTAGTTTTGTTGAAATAAATCTTTTTCTATTTTCATCAAAAGCAGGACAACGAAATATATAATGAAACTCGTCTGCAATTATCACCGAGCTTGAAATCGCGATCCATTAAGTCCCCTCTTACAAGCAGTATAGGCTGCTGGGGATGTAGGATGAAAATTGTACCACATTTACAAAAGTGTATTGGCAAAGTGTGATTAAGAAAATACCTTCCCTTTCACATGCATGTAAGTTCCGGCAATCATGACTGACCCAGAAACCTTTGAACAATAACTCTATCATTGTACTCAGAGGCTCATATGTGACCATGTACATACATCATTTAGCTCAGTTTATAAACTGAGACTTATACGCTGTGGGACTTTTAGTTAGAATAGGTCCCCAACAACCTTTGCTGATGAGGCGACCAAATAGATCGGGTGATCGAGTGGTCGATTATCTACAGGCCTCCATCATATCTATGTATATTGTAGAGTGCGGCGTTGAACAACAAGCAAACCGAACAAATAGTAGAGTTGCCGTTCCAGGTTCCGTGATGATGATTCGTAGTCGTCCCGTGCGCTCTTCTGTGCGGATCTGTATCTTTATGCAGAAATATATCGGAATTCTTGCTCAGATTGGTCAAATCAAGACATGGGAATTTTGTCAAGCTTTAGGATATCGATGATTTGATATCTTCAAAAATGGTGAAATAGTCAATTCCCTTTCACTGATTTATCAATGTGTACAAGAAATAAAAGAGACAATTGGGACCGCATCATCTGTTTCATATTTAGATCAAGGCATAAAGATTCAGAATGACAAAAAACTCCAAAATAGACTTTATGTCAAGAGGGATCATTATTTCCAATATTCAACTATTCTTTTAAGTCTCGCAATATTCCAAGAACTCCAGACGTGCTCTTTCTTCGAAAATATTCAAACGTTGTTTGATCAGGGTTACAGCGTTCAAGGCCTTAGTGAAGTTTTCAAAACGTTTTATGGTAGATATGTGGTGACCGTTTTCACAAATCAGTGACCAAAATGATTCTAACACGAACCATATGTTCACGTGTTTGTCCAGGTGAATTCTTGACTTACTGATTCATAAACACAATCGTACAATGGACTCTGTTTAGCAAAGATTTCTTATGATTGTGGAAAGGGTTTTGTCGCTTTTATTCTATATTCCAAATCGGCGTTAACGCAACACAATTTAGATAAAATCCCGAAAATGAGAACAGGAAACTAAAAACTGCTTGTGTCTAACACTTTTCCGTAACTGCGGCACTATCATTTCCGTCCATTAACCCATAACGCTGTGCTGGTGGAACTACATCATACATATATGTCATTGAGCTGCCTAGCTGCCCGAGGAGTGATTCTTCTTCTGATGTCTTCCCACACTTCTTGGTCCAAGGTTATCCATTTTTGTTTATAAAAACAGGTGGCCCAATTGCCTAAGGCGCCGCAATTCGCCGTGCAGAGTTACGTCCCCTGGGCAGGCTAGAAACCTGCGATCGTGATTTCGAATCCCGAAAGTCAGTACCATACCATGCATGCTACTGGTTTTATCAAAGTGGTAAACGTCTTAGACCTACATCACTCCGTTCTCCAACCCCCTATTACGTAAACAGCTTCACCGAAGCAAACAGATAGATGTAATATGAGAAAGACTGGGTAACGAATATAGTCAATATTTATTTGCTGCGACTTGTGATCAATAACACTATATAAACTCATAACGCACAACTACTCAGTGTAGAACACCCGAAATTACATACAGACATGACTCTCATGGACATTGTTCTTGTGTGAGACATTGTAACAATAATGAGGTGCTCATTAAACATTTCAACCGTATATTGTTTCCAATAAACAGTCTAACTAGTGCATGTACTGTACATCAACAAGTCAGTGCACCACAACAGATGTACGTGTATATAAAAGAATTGTGGTCAGTGACGTAATACACATATATACGTGACATCATATATGCGACGTCACATATACGTCACTTTTGTTCATTCGTTCCGGTGACGCAATATCAACATCACACACCATACGTAAGTTCCGTGAGTGTAACGTAGCTTTTAACAATATTTCAGTCATGCAACGGCATATTAGAATACGAAAGCACAAAGGGACATCTTTTTGTCGTTGACTACTGGTCAAGTTCATGATCACAACCTGGCGCTCAACGATCAAGGATCAACCTTGAATCCAAACTCACAACCGATGCATCCTGCTCCATCAAAACTCTTATACAACACAATAAGTACTAAAAAGGGTGCTATTTGAGACAAGAGAAAAAGAAAGATCACGCAGGATGTCATTATCTATTTTCGTGTTTCACATCGCCTGATCGCTATCGAGTTCAGGCTTAGGGCCGACAGGGAAGAAAATGTGTTTAATTTCCGCCGACTCGATCCAAGATTATCTCGACTAGAAGCATGTAGATAATTGTAAAAAAAGATAGTGCTTAAACCAACCAGGAGTTGGACCAAAACATTAAACTCACCGGAGATTAGAAACTCAACATTAATCTCATTGCTTTTATGATGGCGCCGGAAATTGATAAAGAACTTCTCCGTCCCTGTCACTGTAAAGGTGACAGTATGCTGACAGTTCTACGATTTTCATTACAGCAGAACAGCATAATATTTAATAAAACATACACCTAATGTACACACGTTGCTGCAATGATTGAGGCAATAGTATTCCAAATTGCTAAACATATACTTGTGGTTAAAAGATTCATTGAATAGAAAGTCTTATATTCAATATATTCTAATAGAAATAGCCAATGTTCCATAAAAAAAAGAGCATGCAGGATATGCTATAGTTAGGATAACGGTGCATGATGCAGGTCTTGTCTGAGGCAGAAAGTTTCCATGCCGGTGTCACATGACGGGGGGGGGGGGGGGGGGGGGGGGTCTGGGTGATGCGTTAGGCAACAAACACCTTTTTATGGAAATTGTGTGAGCGTTGGGTCCTACCGGTAGAACCGAGCATGCCTACCCTTTTCGTGAACACCTGGTGGTGTCGTTGATTTTCAGCGAACCATTCATATAATTTTCACCAGCCTTTTACGCCCAATGGAATATGTTTCGGCAGATAATCGAAACTGATTCTTCTCTGACATTGACGTGTTATATTTAGTGAGTTGGGCTGAACGTCTCTTTGAACAATTCCAGTTATATCACGGCGTGTCAGCTCAACGTGGGAGGAAAGCCCAAAGGAGGCAGTTCTCAGACGTTTACCACTTGTTACCCATAAGCACACGTATGATGCCAAAAGAAGCAAGAAACATAATCATGTCAAACCGGGATTCGAACCCGCAATCATAGGTTTCTGATACGTCTAAGGGACGCAACTCCTTAGACGACTGGCTCAGCCGTCCTCCAACCCGAACCCCACCAACCCCTTCTCACACAAAGACCGACACTCATATCAAGGACGCACGGGGTATGTTAACGAATGAATGAAACAAGCATAGACGTGGCACTTAATACAAATATTCGCGAATGGTCGCCTCAGCCCGAATTAGGTTAATCCCTGTCTGTTTCATTGTCGTAGTTTTATTGAGACTGTTCTGTCTAATATTCACGTACACGCCATAGACAACGAAATGACCGTCTATGGATATCCTATGATTGATGTTAATCCTAAACGCAGCCACTTTAAACAAAGGGATAGGGTGGAGCGCACAATATCAGTTGACAGTCAACAAACCAGATACCAGTATAAGGTCCAGGGGACGTTGCTCGCACACAAACCGCCAGACACGCTTATTAGTGCTGCAACCTAACACAACATTAAAGTCCCGAAACACTCGTGGCGTGAGGTTGACCTTAGATTCTACATAATGGCGGTACTTTTACTTTCATGAACAACACATTAGGAAGTAAAATGAAGGTTTCAGGATACCCTTTCCTGATTTGTTCAATTTACTGTATAAATTCATCAGCTGAATCAGCGTGGTATCCAGCTAAAGAGATATTACTTCAGGAAAGATCATCAAACAACATCATAACGATTGATCCAACTTGTAATCTTTGTCATTGTCAATAAGACGCATGTGCGTTCATTGTTTCATATGGCGTGTTTTAACATGGCATACTAAGAACTCGAATATTTTAAGGTCTGTAGGTATTCGAGTCAACGAGTTATTAAACGACCGCCGGACACAAAAGCAAAACACAATCAACCGACATCACGGCGGTCGTCGACGGAGTTGATGGTGGACAACAATGTCTCCGAAGCCGGAACGCTGAAACTGCGGCTGTTTCGAAAGGTCACAAAGTCACTTCCTGACTGTAGCGTGGGAGGACGGACACATATACAGTGGAGTTTCAAGAACAGAAGGCGGAAGTTTTCGTTGAATTTCTTGTTCATCCACCAGTAAACAAACGGGTTGTAGGCGCAACTGCTCATGGATAGCCAGTGAGCTCCAACCCACACCACTCTCATATATTCAGCGTAGTAGATAGTGTGGTCTACGTCACCACATAAAGTGATGACGTGCAGCGGCAGCCAGCAAATGGCGTAGATACTTACAACCGTTATCATCATCTTGATTACCTGGAACAGAAGAAACATAATATGATGATCATTATCAAGTAAATAATCGCAACTCTGATTTGAATTGCTGTATTTTAGATGAAAGACAAAACAGTTCAGCGCTTGACATACTCTTTATGTTTTATTATAAAAACGTCAACTCCATAAGCTATGAATAAACTATGGAACGTATTATAAATAGTGCCACATTTTAAATACGAATCACCTTCGTAGATACTACTTCAATCTACCTTGATGATACTTGCATCAAGCCACACGATAGTACTCACACGTACGTAGAGGATACCCTTATTCTACGTAGAAGAAACAGTATCTATTGAATTATCGACTTTGGTAACACAGTGACTAGTTTCTCGAGTAATCGACAATATTTCCGGGTCTGTTTCATATAACCTCTGGCTTAATCAATAATTCACTTTCAACCTTGACATGTCTTGATTGAGGTACGACCTAAACATTAAATATTAAAGTAACTATTTATTTAAATGTGTCGAAGTTACTGACCAGAAGTAAGCACCAGCTGGCCAAATCTACATCAGGTGATATTTGACCGACTAAATATTTTCAGATTGGTTGATGTTCTAACTTGGCTTTATATCTATGAAGGAATTTTAAAGGTTCAACTTTAATTCAAAACCGTTTGTTGAGGTTATATATAACATCCACGAACCAAAGTGAGAGTGACGTGGCTGGCAGACTGCGAGAAAGAACCCTTTTGTAACCAGAAAGAAAGTAGAGTACAAAATGTTCCCCCAAGTACAAAGTCAAGTTAGTTAAAAACGTAATTAACTCTTTGGAAATTAAACTAATATAAAGACGTCACATTATTGTTGTTGCAGTTGATTCTGAGCCAGGAATTCATTTGCCATTCCAAACGTGCATTTTGTGCAAGTAAAACTGACACAACATTACACAGGACATTATGCAAAATGTTAGCGAGATGATGAATTATACAGGGTTTAAGTCGGAGACATCACCGGAATCTGTTGGTCTAATGCTTTTTCCGGAACGGAAATTAGGTTTAACGTGAATATGAAAGTGGGGAGAATCACTCAAGCTATAAAACTATATCAAACAAATACTCGTCCTCATCATATGAAGCACTGATGGTACAATTTTGCAGTTTTGTTAAATGAATTTATGTGCTTAAATTGGGCTGATAGTTTGGCGATTAGAAATAATCTCAGTATGTTGTAAAAATACGGAAAAGACCAAACAATTAAATACATTAACAGCAATTAAGTAAGCACCTATATTAAAAACAGACATGTTTGTATGAACTACGTCCAACTGATGTCGCAACTTGATGTCAACAATATCACTGTCTGAGTAACATTACGCACGATTATAAAATCATGTACGTTGTTAGCATCGTAAACGTAGGTGATATATTTGGTTTTTACTGTGGCACTAATACAGTTCCATAATAACTGGTATCAATGATCTGCCGAACAGATGAGTGTTGAAAATGTTATGAATGGATCACTGAATATATGTGATGACACTAGTTGTTCGCGAAGGTATTGATGTACTGGTTGAAGAACTATCATTTAGAAAGTAAATCGTACTTTCCTTTAAATTAACTTCCCTATCTTAGAGAATGTTATAACGAATCCAGTCACCGGACAAAATAGCAGGATATTGACCAGAGTGGCTTTCAAGTACATAACATACGTAATGGCACAGACGTAATTATTATATATTTCACACAAATCGATACTGCATCCGTTGGGCATTGTCGGAAACTGGTGCCTGATGTAAGATGTATGTCAGCCTAAAATTTTACGATTATTTATTTCTGCTTCATCAACATAGTTACTCCCAGTTCAGCGAGATGGCGCCGTTCATACGTGATTACGAGTGACAATAAATCGTTGGCAATCATATGAATGACTAGAGGTGGATTATCGATATCATATGATAGATAGAATGAAGCAGTTGATGAGGGGTGCTCTGAGCCTGATAGTTAATGCACTGACAGTTAACTGAGTAGTCGTGAAGATAGTGAAGATTGTGAAGATGACTCTTGATGGTCATTACGGATCTGATGGAGAGTGGTGCTACGCTGATGCTTCATGATGGTTCACACACCTGCACGCAAGCACGCACGCACGCATGCACGCACGCACGCACGCACGCACGCACGCACGCAGACATACAGAGACACACTATCTTTAATGTGTGTTGAGAATGTGAATGTTCTTTTACGCCGCAGTGTTCCCGCTGTACGGCAGCGACCTGTAGATAATGGAGTCAGGTCACTTGACCGGGAGTTGATGGTTTGATACTTTTTCATTAGTGAGATGACACGCAATCAACCAAGTCACGGAGGCTGACCTTCCGGCCCTTTCAGTCGCCTCTCACCACCAGCATTAAGCGCCGGGGACATCTAATTTTAACACGGAATCCCCGCGAGGGTTAACGACAATGATAGTGTGGTGTTTAGGCACGTGTGATGTGTGTAGTTTTTGTGTCACATATTTTGAACCATGTGTGTAATAAATACAAGTATTACTCTTGTCATAATTGTAATAACTCTCTTATTATTCTTTTATAGCGAAGCCTTCATATCAAATCGAGTCTTCTATACGTTTAAGATGATGTAAGTCAAGGCAGAATGATTGAGTCTGAAGTCGAAGTTCACTGTAGAATAACTCGATATATCAGATAACTCAATTATATTTCCGATGGTTCAGAGGATGTCGAGTTATCAGGATTTCACTGTATGCAAGTGACATCCTGACAGACGACGGGCACACCCAGGATCCTACAAAGGCAGGTGTTTTAGGTGAATATTGGCCATATTATTCTTATTAATATTATTTACAGATTAAAATAAAAATATTATTATTTTTATTATTATTTATCATATCCAGTCATTATAGATCTGTCCTAGGTTTCTCAACAAAATATCTTTAAATTCGTCTCCAAGACGATTATATTTTTGACCGTCGCCTGTAACAGATCACTTTCACTTTGCAGAACAAATATATCTTGGATAAGGCTCAGGATGCATAACAGCGTGTAATTTAAGAAGCAGACACTTTAGAGAAAATTATATACCACTTGACACCGCCATAATCCACAACTTGTTTCTACACACATCCTTGTTCTATGGTTTCGGGATGATAGGTTTTGAGACTATTTAATGATCCAAACAGTTCCCATTGGTTTTCCTTGTCAATCTGTTTGCAGGTTTTATCTTCAATAGTAAGGTGAGGTGAAATTGGGTTTAACGTCGCGTTCAAGATTATTGCACTTATATAGCGACGTGTATGCACGTGTGTGGCTGCTTATACTAGTCTGGACTGATGCCGATTTATATTGCTAGCACACTGAGATATCATGCCGCAGTTTAACATAAATACACCACTCAGACGCAGTATACTGACTCCGAGCCGACCAGATTGATTTAGCCCCTTAATGCCGAGCGCCAGACAGGGTAACAACAAGTTCCATCTTTTAACGTCTTTTGGTATGACGCGACCGGGGATCGAACCCCGGACCTTCCGCTCTCCGGGCGGACGCTCTACCTCTAGACATATGGAACATATTCACATACATATAAGCAACAGAGAAGCATCATTTGTCTTATTACAAGTACACGTTTGTATCACTATACTACGATAATATTAACAATTAATGGATGACTCATGTTAGTGATTGTCCAAACCAAACCATGTGGCGATTACAGCCTTACCGACTCCTTTCCACGAGTTGTACAACAATTGATGGTAACTTCTTTAAAGGGAAAAACATCGCAGTCCTGACAAATTAGAATTAAGTAGTTCAGAACGAATGTCTGCAATCTATAATTGCACGACTTAGATCAATCAAGAAGTTGATAGTGACCCTAATGATACACATCCAATGTCTCAGCTTGACAGCTTACATTTGTTACACCATCGCAATAGACCGCAATAGGCATCATCAGATCACTGAGCATAGTTATCTTCAGAGAAATATATACATCTACATGTACCTCTTTTTTTTGTGTGGTTATAATCGATGCTTAACGAGTAGAGTCAAATTTTAAAATGTATGCGAATCTGTAGTGTTTATTTGTAAATCTAAAACCTGAAATCGGCAGAAAGTTGAATCTTTAAATATTTAGTGCGAAGGCGTGGCATGGCGTCATATATCAGGGAAAGAATACATGTATATGAGACAAATAGAAACAAACTGATGAATGGCATATAACTAAATCAAATTTATCAAATATAACAATACTGTTTATTGTCGCTGAGAAGAGTGTAGGCATAGATTAATCTGAAAATATCATGTCTTCCGTGGTATTCAATGTGTTCTCATAATTGAATGTTTTAGGGCTTAATCTTAATCCTAAAATGATATTAAGATGATTTATACTTGAAATAGACTCCCAAAGTAAGACATTCTCCAGCGTACGTTGATGAAAGCACAACAAATAACTATGCCATTATTTCAAATCTAATATGAAAATATAATCCTTACTGACAATTTCCAGTAAAAATATCAAAACATACTGATGAAAGGGCCAAACTGGCGCTGAGGTTCCGCTATCGGCAACAGATTATTAATGCCTAACTGAATAATATTATTGCATTTTGTGACAATTCACCACTTAGAATATTCCCAGATAGCTTAAGATTGGCATTCCTGCCATGTATCTGTCAATTACTAACTTTCACTATATGATAAATGGTGTATGAAACCGTTATATTGTATACATTATGGATATATATATCCCACATAATCATATTATCATAAAAAATGAGATTCTCTTCAAAGGAATAGGGAAAAAACGTCCTTCAGTCCAATTACCACCTGACGGAGTCTTGTGACAAACACCAGGGAACGTTGCTGCCATCCAGAGAGGAATTTATAGCCGTAATCAACGCGGTAAAATGTCAGTATCGGGGAACGAAAAGTACACGTACATAATTCAGTCAGTTATTTGAAAGACTGTTTACCTTACGACTAGTTCATTCATCACATGATGAATGATATTTCGACTAACG